ATATCCATTATTGGTTTTTAATGTGTTTTTACTGTGTTGGTTTGTTTTACATTGTAAGCGGCCTAGGAAGGCCTCAGCAATTATAGGCGACCTATAAATTATGTAAATAAATATCCAACCTGCTCACCAAATGGACCATTCCTGCTCACCTGATCCAGCAGGTGTCAGGTCATATGGCATCCACCGTTTTGGTGGTCTCAAATGTGAGGTTATGGATGAGAACATTGCAGTTATGGTTCAGTCGCAGCTTCCATCCTGAGCGTGATTCATCATACCGACTGCTAGAACCTCCACACTCAGTGCTATAGACACTATCCTGGTGGCTAGTTGAGACCAACCTGACCCAAGGGATGCCATTCTGACCACTGGAACCAACTGTGATGCTATACACTGACGCATCTTTGACTGGATGGGGGGCCCATTGTGCATCCCTTCAGACTCAGGGCATCTGGCATGGTCACGGGTAAGCAAGACACATCACTTACCTAGAGTTGCTGGTGGTATTAAAAGTTCTCCGTGCCGTCTTAACCATCTTGGAAGGAAAGACCATTCAGATAGCAATGGACAACATTGCGACCATGTTCTACATGAACAAACATGGAGGGACAAGATCGATCTTGCTGGCAGATCTCGCTCTTCGTATCTGGAACTGGTGTATCAACCATGGGATGGACAAACAAGCAATTCATCGTGCTGGTACCGAGAACGAAAAAGCAGACTCCCTGAGCAGATACATGTCCACGATGCATGAGTGGGAACTGGATTAAAAGATCCGCCATCGTCTCTTTGACCAGTGGGGGACACTCTCCATGGATGTATTTGCCACACACAAGAATGCAGTGTGCAATACCTACTGCTCTAGAGTGGGCATTGATCTGAACTCTATCGGCAATGCATTCATGATTCCATGGAACAATGTCCTATTCTATGCATTCCCCCCAATACCACCAATAATGAAGATGTTAGCGAAGATTGGGTGGGACAATGCTATTGGCATCCTGATTGCTCCATGGTGGCCCTGTCAAGCATGGTTCCTCATGCTACTTCATCTATCTCGAAGGACTTACATTTATCTCCCAGAGCTACCACATCTGATCACCCAACACCAAGGCTCCATTTGAAATCCAGACATACACACCCTGAAACTGACAGCATGGATCATACAGTGACTTCGGGACAGACAGCTTCCTCAGTATGGACAACAACTCTGATGTCAACAACAACCTTGGTACCGACAAATTTCCACCTGGACATACAGTTCATTCTGCAGTCCGCATTAAGGCCAAATATGCAATGATTGTAGAGTTCAATATAGAAATGTTTTCCTCACTTTGCCACCAGTAACAACTTGTCACCTGAATCTGCAATTATTGAGAACATTTTACCATTCCTTCTCTCATTACACCAAGGAGGATTAAAACCTTCTTCCATCAAGGGGTATGTTGTTGCAGCCATTTTACACCATAGAGGACATATAGAGGGTTCCTTGGTGTTCTTGCACCAGTTAATACGTCAATTCCTTGTTGATTGTTCTGCAGGCATTAATGAAATCACCAGTTGATGGAGTCGGCCTCCATCAATGTATGAATGCTTTCCTGGAAAACAGCTTTCCTAGTTGCCACAATCTCCGCCAGAAGAGCTAGTGAGCTATGAGCTCTTTAGGTTGACCCCCCCCCCCGTACCTCAACTTTTATAAAGAAAAGGTGGTCCTTCGTACAGATCCGACATTCCTTCTGAAAGTAGTGACAGCATTCCATCTTAATCAAAACATTGTCCTGCCGGCATATTTTTCAGCGCCATCGACACTGAGGGAGTGTTCCCTACATTGCCTCGATGTGCGCAGATCCCTGGCATTCTATTGGTCCTGAACCGAGTCATTCCGAAAAACCAAACATCTGTTCATTAAATACTCTATGACAAAGGAACATCAATAGGGCCCCAATGCCTATCAAAGTGGATAGAGGAACTATCCAACTCTCCTACCAACTTGCCAAACTGAACTTGCCTATTACCCCGAAGGGACACTCCACCAGAGCTGTAGCTACCTCATCTGCCATATGTGCAGGCATACCAGTGCAGGACTTATGCGAAGCTGCTACATGGTTGACTCAGTGCACTTTTATCAAACATGACCGCGTAGATGTGAAAGCTAGACTGGACTGCTCGTTTGGCCCTGCTGTCCTCTCTGCTATTCTTCAGTAGTGACACCATCCTGCCTTTAGGTGGGCAAGCTTGCTAATCCCCCATATGTGTGATGCACAGAGACCACAACAAAGAAAGGCAGGTTGCTTACCTGTAACTGTGGTTCTTCGAGTAGTAATCTGTGCATTCACAGAACACATCCACCGGCCCCACATCAGTGTCGGTGACTGGATTCATAAATCACAAATTGAATTTCTCTTAAACTTACACTTACTTGTTGGTATCAGCTGACGGTGAACAGGTGGTCTTCAGGTGACTGGTGAGAGGGTGGGGACTCATTTATATTTATATGAGGGGGAGGGGGAGTGGAGTTCCTGCCAAAACTCATTATAGCTGAGAGAATCTTCCCAAAATTAGGCATTATGCAGGTACAGCATCCACATATGTGAATGCACAGATGACCACATGAAAAATGACAGTTACAGGTAAGCAACCTGCATTAAACAGATTAAATCATGATTTTCCTGTTCTGGGTGTAACAGAAAATAGGTTTAAACTAACCAGGAAAGCAGCATTTAAACAAAAACATGAAGAGGTCAGGAAGATGTAAAAGGGGACTGCCATTCATTCTCAGCTTAATAAACTATTAGTTTATAATATTATATTCATTATATCCAAACTGGCCCCATGTCTGCATGATAACACTGGTCTACAAGGAGAAAGCCCTGGAAATGAAAGTACCTGAATTTTATTTATTTAAAAAATTTCTATGCCGCCCCCATTGCAACAAAGCCTCGGGGCGGCTCACAACATAAGTATTTTACCAGAATATGGTCACTAATAAAGGGAAATTAAGTCCTGAGTATTAATTGGCTCCAGTTTCCAAGATACAGGTTCAGGTAAAAATTGCATCAAAATAATTCAAAATTATCATTTTTATCATCATCTGAGTCTAGACAGTAGGATTCTAGAATTGGCAAGTCCTCACCATGGGGTACAGGATGCAGTGTGGATGAAATGTTTGGCTATTCCATGGATCACTTCTTTCTTGAGATCCCTTTTACAGTTGGGGGAACCATGCAAAAATAGCAGTTGCTACTATGATTGGTGGGTTCCCTCCACACGATTGGAACTGTGAAAGAAATGGATTTTTTCTTGTTTAGCCAATGATGCAGATAGGTTGCACATGTAAGGCAACAATAATGAGGGGCCCAACTCTTGTCCTGATCCCCTATTTTACATCCAAAATATAGGTGGTATGCCTTTTTTACCACTGCCATCATACTGCACTTTTGAGATGGAAATGTAACCTTGTCACAGATGTAGCAGAAAGTATCTGCATTGCTTACACAGTTTTGAGACATCTTGGCTTCTGAGGGAAAATATCACACAACTGTTCTTTGGAAATGTTAGACAATGACACTTTCACAAGCCACCAGATGTAAGCGTATGGTGCATATATCTGACTAAGACAAATGTACCTTGCAATAAAGGAACAATAAATTACAGTTAGGTAATACTCTTTAGTCCCAAAGTGAAGATAAATTTATGCACTTCCATGTGGTACCATTTTCACTGTTCTACCGTACTTTGTCAAGAAGTTATAAGGCATCATGATCATCAGACACCTCCCTCCCTTGTAGGCAAATATACTCACCTGTGTATAAATCTTTATTGTGAAATATCTTGAAAACTTTAGCCAACCAGCACCTTTATCACCTGTTTTCTAATTCATCTAATCAAAATAAGTAAGAATTAGCACATTTTATCTTGGAGGTCAATAATTTCCCAAAATTTGTAGACCAGTGTAATTGGACAATATTCTGGAATGTTTGGTTAAAGAACTGTTTTAGGCTATTGTGCTAGTTTCCAAGATGGCACTTCATGGGACAGTAGCAGGTTTAGAACAGAGTAACACTTTGTTCAAAATTATGAAGGGTCAGCAGGGCTTGCTGCCTCTTACCAGACTCCCAGTGAGTTCAGTGTAGTTTGTTGGCCAGTGTCAGTAGCCAAGCAGGCTCTCAACCTGTCACAATTGACAAGGAAAGGACATCTGGCAAGGGAGATGGCCCAAGTCAGTGATGTCCATGTGACTCAACTGTAATTTCTTATTCTAGCCAAAATGAGCAACACCTGGACTGGCTAAGGGAGGAAGGGGGAGAAAGGAAAGAGGATGAGGATAAAAGGAGCACAAGAGAGATGGTGGGGAGAAGATGCGCAGTAGAAGCTACAATGACAGTAAACAAAACAGCAGAGAGAGAGAAAAGAATAGCAAAGGAGAAAGATCAAGAGAGGAAGCAACTTGGAGAAGACTGAGAAGAGGTATGTGCTCTATTTGTGGCTGGGGCACAGAGTCCAATTACCAGCAGCTTAAGTCTGACTCCCTGAGTGGAGAAAAGTCTATGTCAGTTCCTTTCACTGACAAACCTTGGGTAGGGTTGAAGAAATCACTTGCTATTGTTATTTCAGAGAGTCAGGAAGATGTGGAGATTGAACCAAGTTACTTATTTGCTACAAGCTGCCAGAAAGGGAAGCAAGCAGCAACCCTGGGTTTTCTACCAGCTATTTTCCCAAGAGTTACTAGAGACAGTGGTTTTTGTGCAGGGAGAAGATCCGTGCCATGATGTATACAGCCCGTCATATGATTGTTTTGGAGTGGTGACTCCTCTTTTTGTTGAGGTTTAACTGAAATTTGGTGTGTATAACCAAAAAACATGAAAGAAAAGTCTTTCAACTGCCTTTTAAGAGTGATCCTGCTGATGGAAGTACTGGAGCATGGAGGGTTTGACAGTCCCCTTCCTCCAGACCCAGTGACAGAAAGTAATGTTTCAAACTTTATGAAAAAATGGAAACAATACTTAGTATCAGTGCTGCTTACTTTCCAAAAATGTTCGAAATACAAGCAGATTTTATTTAAAATGATTATTCTTTGATTTGTCCAGTTTGCATTTGTTTTTCCATCGGTACTACACACATACAAGATTCATTCAAAATATTACAAGCTACATTAAAAATCTAAACTTGATTTTCTTCCATATACTATATTAACAAATACTTAAAACTTCTTTTTCTTCATTGCCTTCCAATCTCCTTCCTGCTGAGCAAGGCTCCTGAAGAGTTCTTTCACTTTTCTTTTTCTTACAGAATCCCTAAAAATTAAAATAAAATTACAAATATATTGTAAAACTATGCTCAGTAAAGGCAGGTTTGAGTGCTCATTTGTGCATTCCCACATATGGGCTCTATGTGCATGCGTGGAGCCTATTTGGGAAGATTTTAAAGCTAATTAATTAGTATCTGGTGGAAACCCCTCTCTTGGCCATGCCCTGGTATGAGGGAGGGGCTCTTGCCTGGTCCTCAGTTCTGAAGCAATGAGACCGCCATACTCATTCTGGACCACCTTCTGTTCAGAGGAGCTGGGCCCCCAGGGGCCTGTTTGATTTGTTGTTGTTGTTGTTGTTTTTCTGAGGGGGCACCTGGCAGTTATAGGGCAATACCAATAGGGGATGGCAGGCAGGTTTGTGTGAATGCACAGATGATCATCTGAAGAACAACAGTTATAGGTAAGCAACCTGCCTTTCTTCTTTGTGTTGTAGATGCTAATATTATTGATATGTATTGTATCTCAACTGTATGTATTTATGTTCTGTAAAAATAAAAAATAAAAAGGGGGAACAAAAGAAGGCTTTCCACTTTGTGCAGGATGAGCATCGGGTGGTCCATTTCAGTGCCATCTCCAATACCAGTTGGAGGTCTTTGGAGGTCATTGGGGCTTATAAACTCAATGGCTGCTTTTTGGAGCAGGGATCCTCTTTAAGACCCAGCATAAAATGCTCCCTTCTGGACCTCCCTTGGGCTGACTCCACAATGAAGAAGTTGGGAGGGGGTGTAAGAACAGGAATGGCATGTCCTGTTCTTGTAGCTGGTACATACTTGGAAGACTTTTATTTATTGGGGCTGAGAGGGCAGGAGATTTCCATTCCTGCCATACTGAGTCCAACAATGATTCCAGGAAAGATACGCCCATGGTCTCCATGTAGGCAGCCTCAAACACCTCCTTGGCCCTCCAAGATTCCTGCAGCAGGTTTAGTTCCAGGCTGTGCATTATTTGAAGCTGGTCAGAAAATAGGCCCAGGTCTTATGATGGTAAGCATGCATCCTGAGGGGTCACTGAGTGATGGCTTAGAAGGTTGGGCTGGTGAAATGGACTATGGGTCTGATGCTTGGGATTGAGGCCTGGAGATCAATGGGCTCAGGACTGGTAAGGAAGACCACAGTGGTTGAATTTGCAGAGACAGTGAGCCTAGATGTGGATGATTCCAGTTTGGGCCAAGGAGCTTTGACATGCGCTGGGACTCTGTTGGACTGAGCTGGGCTCCAGTAAAACCACTATGAGTATCTGGAGTTGTAGGAGACCCAGCATTCCAGGCAGAAGTCCCTGCTGTAGTCTCTCACCAGTTAGGTCTGAAGTCCCAATTGGAGATGGGTGAGCTGGAGCATAATCTGCACTGCTGATGGAATAGACTTCACTTGGGATAGGGAAGGAGGTGAGGTGAGCCTTGGTCCTGAGGCAACAAGAGGTGTCTGTTGCATAGGTGGGGAAGGCTTGTATCTCACCCTCTGAGAACAATGTAGTCAGAGCAGCCTGTGTCAGTGCCGTGGCTTCCTAGGCTCCTTTTGGTGTTGGCGATGAGCAGCATTCAGGTTATGCAGGGTACCACTAGGAAGTGTTTTGTCATAGCTCTTGGTCTTAGAGCTTTTGCTGCCAATTTTTGGCTTTAACCTGTCAGCCATTTTGGAGGCCCTTGATTTTTTTTGCCAGTTTCTTAGCCTTGGCAATCTTCGATGATTGGCTCACCTGGGGAGTGGCTGAAGAGGATCAGAGAAGACTCCCTGAGAGAAGGTAAGTGTATAGCTACAAGGAGCAGAGGAAAATGTCTCAATGCACCCATGATGGCAAGAAGAACTGAGGAGCAGGCGAGAGCCCCTCCCTCACATCAGGGTGTGCCCAAGGGAGGGGCTTCCACCAAAAACTAGTTAGCCCATATGTGTGATGCACAGAGCCCATACGTGTGATACACAGTGCCTGCGAAGAAGAAAACGTGACACACATTTTTTAAATTCAATTTTACTGAAGTTTAAATTCAAAGATCTAAGAAATTCTCACCCATTACCTGCATATTTATGGGGTACAAAGTATATGGACTGTAGATGCCCTGGGACCCCTGACATTTGCTGCCACCAAAAAAGAATGATAAAAAACAAAGTCTATGTTTCTACCATATTTTCCCGAAAATAAGACCTAACCTGAAAATAAGCCCCAGTTAAGCCAGATAGGTGCATTTAGTACATCCATTGCAACACACGACAGATGTATTAAATTATAAAATAATAATATTAATATATAAATATAAATAAATAATATTATTGACATTCATACTTAAAATAAATGATAATATAAATTATAATTAAGTATTTGTAAATATTCAAGCTGGCACCTTTGGATGAGAGGTAAACCCCTATGTAAACAGATGAACTCAAGACTTATTGCTGAATGACCAATCAGAGTACAGACACAATGCATGAATAACGTGTGCACTCGATAATGAACGGACGTGTTTCATAATTCAATATGTTGTGTGTTATAACGGATGTACTTAATGCACTTGTGTGTTGCCACTCCTGTCTCGTAAGTCTTCAATTAACATTTGATTTAATGGTAGATTCAAGGGGAATAATATTTTGACCCCCAGACAAGATGCGTGCAAAAAGAAAGAGCTACATTGAGTACAAGAAAGGAATCGTGGAGGACTCTCAGGGCAAGAATCTTATGGCTTTTGTAAGAAAAAATAAGACATCTCCTGAAAACAAGCCCTGATGCATAAGACCTGGTCTTATTTTCAGGGAAACATGGTATGTGGCAGGATTCTATCGTCCTGCCACACAAACTCTATTCTTAATACACTCTTAGTGCATTACTAAGCATCCTAAGAAGTGGTGCTCAGATAATTTACTGAGCAAGGAGTTGGACCCAATGGCCTTACTGGCTCCTTCCAATTCTGCTATTTTGGGATTCTTTGATCAGTTTGTTTATGGCAGGGGGCCAGTTGAAAGGTGCCAGTGCTAGCCGCGGGCCGAAAAGGTGGTGCTGGTGGTGCATGCGGACCAGTGAGGGGATGGTGCGTGTGGGCGCGTGCATTGAGGTGGGGGCGGGGGGCGAGGCAAGGCGAGGCACGGGTGGGCAGGTGCACACAGCAAGGGGAGGTGAGGCAGGCGCACGAGGCAGCAGCTTGCTCGGTTGTAGATCGTTTTCTCCAAGCGAGCAAACCGCTGCCTCCCTGCTCACGGGGCGAGGTGGGCGGCGGCAGGCAAGCATGCACATGGGTGTGGGCACAGTGGATCCAAATGGGCATGGCGGGCCGGATCCGGCCCCTGGGCCTTAGTTTGAGGACCCATGGTTTATTGTGTGAGAGAATGGGTGGTGGTATGAGATAGTGATTGGTGGGCATTATATGTGAGTCACTTATGACTGTGCATGGAAGTGGTCCTGCCCACCTGATGCAGCTCTCATGGCTGAAAAGGCTGCATACCCCTTGTCTATGAGAACTACACTTTTATATATATATATATATATATATATATATATATATATATTGCAAAATTGATAATGTCACAGGGTTCTTCACAGACACAGAAAAATTCTCTGACCTAGTTCAAGCCACAGTAATACAGATTGAATTGGTATATTCTTCTCAGCTAGGGTTGATGCCTTGATAGTTTCCTACACAACATATAAGCTTGCCTGAGAACAGGCTGCCTAATGTCATGAGAAATGTTCCTGAAAACATTTACTAGTGTATTATTTTTTCCAATATTACCATCACCTCCAAAATCTACCTTAATTGTAAAAGTAAGATCAATCTTTAAAATTTCTTGAGAATTAACATAACTCTACAGAATATCATACAGACCAATAGGGTTTTACTTATGTCCTTATTGGGTTTGCAACTTTGAAAATCTTTGTAAATAGAACAATGATCTGACAGGCAAGTTATCTGTGGCCATTAGATATATTCTGTAAAATGAAAGTTTTGATTTTGATTTCTGCACCAAAATGGTTACATAGATGCAATCAACTTTTCAAGGATAAGCATTTTCCATACAAATCAACTGGAATGTAAATAAGGTATGCATTTTTTAATTGTTATATTATTATTATTATTTATGTATGCTTTTATGTATCCTTTGTGAGCTGCCCTGAGGCTTTGTTGCGATGGGGGCAGCAAAGAAATGTTTTAAATAAATAAAAAAATAATAAATTACCTTTCCATAATTTCTGTAAGCTGCCTTTGAGCAAGGAACTGGTTATCTTTGCGGATCTCATGAACAGCTCCTTTAAGTTCACGTTTGTGTTTATGAATTAGACGTCTTCTTTCCTGTTCTTTTTTACTGCTTTCTTGTTTTCTTCCAAATTCCAGACTGAAATTAGAAATTACATAATAAACACACTTCTTCATTGGGCTTAGCTGGATGATGATGATGATGATGATGATGATTTTACATCTGGACTTTTGCCAACATACACAGGTTAAAGAGAACTTATACTTCCCTTTGCATGTTAATTCAAAATTGCTTAACCCTTACAGGGTTTAGATTAAATATTACATAAAAAACAAGCAAAGAGTTTTCACAGGGTTAAAAAACTTCAGTTACTTTTTATCTATACAGCTTTTCCTCTGTTAATAAAGCAGCTGCGCAAACAAGAAATTCAACCTATGAAAATATTATTTAAAAGACAATAGCAATAAATTTTAAAATATCAGAATAAGCTACTGTTGCTATAAAGGTATTTATTAGTAGCAGCAAATTCACAATAGTTTGGCATGCTTTTCCTTACATAGTCTGCATTAACTCTATGCGAACAGGTTTTCTGTGGACCAAAGCAATTGTATGCATTTAGCGAATGTGGGTCAGTTTTTACTGTAATTTCTTCATTCCTTTTACAATTTTAAAATTTGCTTAGTTTCCCAAGCTACAAGGGATCTGAATTTAATCCTACTGGAATGAATAGGAAAATGAAACTACAAATGGTCTAGGCCAGTTGAGATCTATTAATATCCCAAACAACATGTTCAAAAACAAGGAAGAATGGAAATCCCCATTTTTGGATAAGATACTTTAGTGGATGGTTGGCGGGACAACTCCAGGTGCTCTTGGAGAAAACTGACTATCTATACCCATTTCAATCTGGCTTCAGACCCAACTATGGAACTGAAACTGCCTTGGTCGCCCTGTATGATGACCTGTGCAGGGAGAGGGACGGGGGAGTGTGTCCCTGTTGGTTCCCCTGGCCTCTCAGTGGCTTTTGATACCATCGACCATGGTATCCTTCTGGATAGGCTGAATTGGGAGTTGGAGGCACTGCTTTGCGGTGGTTCCACTCCTACCTGTTTGGCTGATTCCAGAAGGTGGTGCTGGGGGATTATGGCTCTGTGCTATGGTAGCTCTGCCATGAAGTCCTGCAGGATTCAATATTATGCACTTTAGCATCTATATGAAATCACTGGGAGAGGTCATCTGGAGGCTTGGGCTGCAGAGTAATCAGTACACTGATGACACCCAGCTCTACCTCTCTTTTACATCTAGTCCAGGTGAGGCAGTGACTGTCCTTGACCGGAGCCAGGCAGGGTCATGGGCTGTATGAGGGCCAATAAACTGAGGCTTAATCCAGACAAGACTGTTGGTGGGTGGTTCAGCCACCCGGGTAAGTGACTTTAACCCTGTCCTGGATGGGGTTGCACTCCCCCTAAAGGATAGGGTGTGCAGTTTGGCAGTGCTCATCAAACCAGAGCTGTCCTTGGAGTCTTCGGTGGCAGCAGTGGCGAGGAGCACTTTCCTTCAGCTTTGGCTGATACACCAACTGCACCCTTACCTGGATAAGCAGTGCCTAGCAATGATGACCCATGCTCTGGTAACTTCCCAATTGGATTACTGCAACATGCTCTATGTGGGGCTGCCCTTGAAGACGGTATGGATACTTCAATTGGTTCAGAATATTGCTGCCAGGATGTTAATGGGGATTGGCAGGCATTCAGATATAATGCCAGTCCTCTATAGGTTACATTGGCTGCCAACTGAAGTCCAAGCTCAATTTAACATGCTGGTGATGACCTATAAAGCCCTAAATGGCTTGGGTCTGGGATACCTGAAGGAGTGCCTTCTCTGTGTGCCCTCCCAACCCTTGTGAGCTGAGATGGAGGTCCTACTCCAGGAGTCCTCCTCGAAGGAGATCAGGAGGGTGGCTACCTGGAGGAGGGCCTTCTCAGCAGTGGCTCCCCAACTAAGGAATATGCTTCCTAGAGAGGTTGACTTGGCACAATGCTTTGTGCTTTTCAACGTCAGGCAAAAACCTTTTTATTTTCCCACTATTTTAATGTCTAGTTGGTTTTAACTGGGGTTTTTATTTTGAATTGCTGGATGCTGTGCTTGTTTTGTTTAATGTAAGCCATCCCCAAACATCACTGGTGGACAGGGTGGAAAAGTTTTAAATAGATCAATAAAATGTAATTATTGGAAATTTTAGTTCTCTGAGGCTCCCAAAGTCATTATTTAATCTTAGGATGGAGGCTCCTTAGGTTACAATTAGCATTTAGCACTTCATCATTTCTTCAGGGAAAGGACTGTCCTAATTTCCCAGACTGACCTGGAAGAGTAAGCAACCGCTCAATCCTTTACTTGAAAACAAACCAAACAAGAACTATGCTGGCACATGCATAAAACATGGTAACTGCAAGCATAACCTTTTGCAAAACACAGAAAGTCTGGGGTGGGGGGAAAGTAATCCTAGGAGTCCTTATCATTCTCCCCATATGCAGCATCACCAAACCATAAAACCTTAAGACCTAGCGGAAAAGAAGCAAGCACATCCCTCTTGTCCTTGACTAAGCCACTAATGCTAGAAAATTGCAAGTCTGTAAGGAACTGGTTGATGTTGACTCTAGGGAAAATGAAATTTTTATAGTCAACAATACTGAAAGGAAAGCCATGTGGGGTAGAAAAGTTTCCATTTGGTAAAAATCAGTGTGCCACTTGTAAACATGTAAGACTTTTTTTTTTTTACAAAAGTTTTGTCTATGAAATACAAATGAAATAAACATGATAAATAGGTATCTCCAAGGCAGTGATGGGCAACTTTCTGGCTCTCCAGATGTTTCCATCAGCTCTAGCTAGCATTGTCAATGGTGACAGATGATGGACAGTTGTGGACCAAAACATTAGAGAGGGCAGAAGTTGCATTCCAGGGCATCAGTATGTTTTCTGATGCAAACTGATGTTTTCCTATGTAGATGACCCTATACATGACTCTAACTTGCACTGGAAATTTTTCCAATTCAAACTTTTCAAAAGAGCAAAAGTAATGTGGTTAATTCCCATACTTTTGTCACCAGCACCTAGAGATGAAAAATGCTGGTTTATGCCATATTTTTCACCAGCCATCAGTTATCATCCAGGGTAAGAGTCAACCATGCTGCAGATATAATATCAGGGAATTATAAATATGTCTTTCTGACTAACTGAATTCCATTTGGAATTAATTTAAGTAGTTAGTCCATAGCAATGTACACACAAAAGAACTCTCAATTCAACTTTAATTTCTAAACAATTTTTTGTATATACCATGTCTCATTCTATTTGTAAGTCGTAGAGTCTGTTGTATTAGGCCTGTACAACAGATTTGGACGAACACTGAAACCTGAGCAGAAAAGGCAGGTTACTTACCTGTAACTGTCATTCTTTGAGAGGTCATCTGTGCATTCACACATTTGTGGCTATGTGCTTAAGCAAAACCTAGGTTACAGGAAGCTTCTATAGCTAAGCACTCATTTTTGGTGTGGAGGCCCCTCCCTTTCCTGTCCACAAGTCCTGTGACATGCATCTCTGGACCAAACCGAAGATGTATAAGTCCCATCCTGGTCCAGTTCCAAGTGTACATAGAACTTTAGAGAGACACATGTTAGTGGGAATGGAAGAACAATAGAAAGTGGGGCCAGAGGGTAAGTTGACCACTCAAAGAACGATAATAACAGGTAAGCAACATGCCTTTTTTCTTCATAGTCCCTGTACGTCACACAGATGAGTGACTAGCTAGCTTACTGTGAAAGGATACTGGGTGCTGATGTTGCTGCAGGATGGAGGAGAGAACTGCTCTGTCAAAGATGCAGTCTGCCCTTTTGCAGGCACCCAATTTGTAGTGTCAGATGAACACTGAGGGCATAGTCCATGTGGCAGATCTCTAGATCTCTTGTAAAGGAATTCCAGAGAAGACAGCCATGGACATGGCTAGAGTCCTCCTGGAGTGGGCCCTGGGTCCCACGATGAGCTGCAGTCCTGCCATCTTGTCGGCAAGAGAGAAGGTGGTAGAGACTCACTTGGACAGTCTCTGTGAGGGTCTCCTTTCCTCTCAACACTGTAGCAAATGAACAGCCAGGGTAAGCAACAGAATGGTTCAGTCATTGTTGAAAGCATCTGAAGCATGGGTGGCTGACTAGCAGACAGGAGCTCCAGGACCTGGGCAACCAGGATGGGGGCACAAGGGTCAGTCCAGAAGTAGTTAAACAGTCCAAAGGTCACAGCCAGGAGTTGAAGTGCAAGGCTGAGTATGTTCAAGAAGCAAACATGGTCAAACAAGCCAGGAGTCAGGAAACCAAGAAGACAAGCTGAGGAAAACAGGAACCTTGAGGGCTGGAGCAAGGCAGGATCACAGGCAGAATTCCAGGAGCAAAGTCCAAGAGTCTAGAAACCAAGAGCACTTCAGCAACTCAGAAAACTTTTATTGCCAAGGCAGTTTCTGAGGGGAAGAGCCAGTGTTTATATAGCTTTTCCCTCAGGACTCCCAGGTGGAGGTCATGAGAGCCCTGGCAGCTGCAATAGATTGGGGTAGCAATCTTGCAACTACTAGGGCTCCTGTGCTCATCCTTGACAAGCAGAAGGAGACCTGAAGCTTCCTTGGCTCTTGAGTTTTCTTGTAGAAGGTGAGGGCCCTCCTAACATCTACCAAGTGTAGGGCCAATTCTACCAGGGTGGAAGAGGCCATGACGAAGGCAGGGAAGACAATGTCTTGGTAGAGATGGATTGGTGAGATGACCTTGGGCAAGAAGGCTGGATCCGGGTGGAGGATGGCCTTGTCTCTATGGAAGGTTTGGTAGGGTGGTCCAGTTGGAGGGCACAGAGTTCATTGCTGTGACAGGCTGATGTGATGGCCATTGGGAAGGCCATCTTCCAGGACAGAAGGTGTACAGCCTCATGGTTAGGGGCTCAAATGGTTTCTTGGTGACTGGGTGTAGCACCACAGACAGTCTCCATGTCAGGATGCAGGGCTACGTGGGTGGAGCAAAGTTTTTCAGCCCCTTGTACCAGAGGGTATACATAGACTGAAGCCCCTGGATGAAGGTCACCAGGTAGGCATGAGTAGATGAGGATGCGAGGCCCTTTTGGAGTTCAGTCTGTTGAAAAGTCAGTATCTGCTGTATAATGGTACCCTTTGGGTCAAAGCTGTCCTTGCATGCAAGTGAGGCCTGGCATCAATCCAACATTGAGTCCCGGGAACCATCATAGGTAGTCTTGGACAGGTGATGGCTGGTGGCAGGCCACTGTCTTGTCTCTCCAGTGACAATGGAAGGGGTGGCTCTAGAATTCGTGGCACTCAGCATCGAGGTCTTGACATCAATTGTCCTGGCATCAATTGTGTCCATGTTGAAGCTGTCTACATTGGTTATCTTGATGGCGGGGATCAGTGCCATCATGGTGGTGAGGCTTGTCGTAGTCCTTGCCAGGGCTGTAGATGTCCTTGTCTTAGTGATACTGGGACCAGTCCAAGGCTTGGTTCTAGTCAAATGAAAGGAGAGTGGGCTCACTTCCTGGTGTTCCCTGGCAACAGAGCCTGATATTGATGCCTGCATTGTGGGCCAGTCAGGGGTTGAGCTGCCCTCAACAGGTGGCACCCTAACCCTCAAAATGGCACCTAAAGAACCTCTCAGAGGTGATCAAGGTGTTCGCAATGGTTCTCTGTGCATCAAGGTTGTAGACTGGTATTCCAGGGAGAGAAGTGGGGTGATCGCCAGGCTCCTTCCTGACGCAACAGCAGGTTTCTCCACTGGTTTGGGGTTATGTGGGTGATTGACTGGATCAGGGAACTCAACAGTTGGTGTCACCACCAATGACAGAGGGGTGACAGGGGCTCACTCACATGGTGACTTTCTTCAGCTTTGTCATGTTGGCAGCAGCCATCATTTTTGGCACATGGATGTTTTCTGTGCTGTTTGGTCAGTTCTGGAAATAGAGGGATGGGTCTGGTCCCTTCTTGGATGAATCAGCTACCTGCAGGCTATAGGCCAAATTTCTTCCAAAGTCTGTTCTATAGTCAATTGGCATGCTGCTTGCATGCTTGTTTTTTTTGAAGAACTAGCTGTGCACAGAGGTCTCAAAAATATGCCCCAAAGTCACCTAGGCAGAGGAGGCAAAAAGAGTGGGCATCTCAAGATAGCAATTTGTTGTTGCATAACTACAGAAGGCTGCTGCTGCTGCCATCATGCAGATGGGGTGAAGGTGGAGAGAAAGGAGAAGAGGAAGAAAAAGAGAGGAAAGGGTCATGGGTAGCTTATGTAGGTTTGAGGGGTGGTGGAAAGAATAAGTGGATACCAAAATAAATACTTTTGTATATGCTTTTCCTATTTTTAAGAGTAAAAGAATGAAAAGGTTGAAGGTTGAACTGTGGAGGAATAAAAGGAGCTAAAGAAGTTAGAGAACATGAGAGACAGAGTGCGCAAAAGTACCTAAGAGTGAAGCTGTTACCAATTCAGGTGTGATGGCAGTCAAAAATGAACTGAAAGGATGAGTGGAAATCCCTCCCCTTACTTCCTGTGGACAGGAAGAAGAGTGGCTTCCACCCCAAACATGAGCATTTAGCTTTAGAAGCTTCCTGAACACTAGGCTCTGTACAGGTGCATAGCCCCAAATGTGTGATGCACAGCAATCACAAAGAAGAATGGGAAGCTTCTGTTAAAGTCCTTGATCCAAGCAGGACTTTATCAAGCCAAAAGAACCAAACCTGCACTCAGAATGAGGTTCGGTCATAGACTCATTTTTCAGTGTCAATTATACATTTGCACAAACTACACAGTTTGAAATAAACACAAAACAGAAACCTTTTGAATGTTGTCTAAATGCTACAAGAGGAAAAGAAAGTGTTGCTAAGTGATTGATATGCCCACCCTTCAATCTAAGGCACATTTTATTGGCAGTATTAGTCAATGTACTTTATGGGTGAAATTGATTCTTTTGTTCCTTTCATTAAAATTTCACATGCCTACCATTTGTTTCAGCAGGAGTCAGTTCATTGGAATATTTGTTGTTTTATTAATGGATGTAGTGGCTTGTTTCTATCTTTAGGTTTGGCATAACACTTCTGCTAGGATCTCATGCAAAAATCTTGACTCAATTCTTCTTTCACACTTTTTCCTATGACCGCTTATATTTCATCTTGGGGTTTCTTTATATTTGTATTATTAGCTAGAAAATCCAGTTCACCAACCCTACTGAAAAAATTTAAATCCATTTTTCTTGCAGTTTCTTGTACACATATGTATGAATCATTAATTATATTGTTGTTGCATGGCAGACCCACCGCAACCCCATGGACAACATTCCTCCAGGCCTTCCTGTCCTCCATCATCCCCCGGAGTCCACTTAAGCTCACACCAACTACTTCAGTGACTCCATCTAGCCACCTCATTCTCTGCCATCCCCTTCTTCTTTTGCCATCTATTGTTCCCAGCATTAGACTCTTCCCCAGGGAGTCCTTCCTTTTCATTAGGTGGCCAAAGTATTTGAGTTTCATCTTCAGGATCTGGCCTTCTAAAGAACAGTCAGGACGGATCTCCTCTAGGACTGACTGGTTTGATTGCCTTGCGGTCCAAGGGACTCGCAGGAGTCTCCTCCAGCACCACAATTCAAAGGCCTCAGTCCTTCGGCGCTCAGCCTTCCTTATGGTCCAACTTTCACAGCCATACATTGCAACTGGGAAAACCATAGCCTTGACTATACGCACTTCTGTTGGCAGGGTAATGTCTCTAATTTTTAGTATGCTATCTAGATTTGCCATAGCTTTCCTCCCCAGGAGCAAGTGTCTTTTAATTTCTTGGCTGCAGTCCCCGTCTGTGGTGAGCCCAGGAAAATAAAATCTGTCACTACTTCCATTTCTTCCCCATCAATTTGCCAGGAAGTGAGAGGACCGGATGCCATGACCTTAGTTTTCTTAATGTTGAGTTTCAAGCCAACTTTTGCATGTTCCTCCTTCACCCACATCAAGAGGCTCTTTAGTTCCTCTTCACTCTGTGCCATTAAAGTGGTATCATCTGCATATCTGAGGTTGTTGATATTTCTCCCAGCAATCTTAATTCCAACTGATGATTCATCTAGCCCCGCCTTTCTCATGATGTGCTCTGCATATAAGTTAAACAGGCAGGCGACAGTAGACAGCCTTGCCAAACTCCTTTCTCAATTTTGAACCAATCAGTGCTTCCGCGTCCAGTTCTCACTGTTGCTTCTTGACGCACATATAGGTTTCTCAAGAGACAAATAAGATGGTTTGGCACTCCCATCTCTTTAAGAACTTGCCACAATTTGTTGTGATCCACACAACCAAAGGCTTTAGCATAGTGGTGAACAAATTCAGGAGTTTCAGGGGGCATTTTTAACCACTACCCCCACTCCCTTTGTGACACAGTCTGCTACATGAACTGAAAACAAGTTTTATGTATGTGTGTGTGTGTGATATAAATGACATCTGGACCACTACAGAACTCTAAAGGGTCAAATTTAGCAAAAGAACCTAATCTTGGTCTTTCTGGAGCATTTAATTTAAACAAAACACACACTCACATGTTGCAGGAGCCACACTACACTATAGGATGCCTCATTTTCACAGCAATTTTTCACAAGAAGCATATGTACTGTTGAGGGCATTTAGGAAAAGCACATCCTTCTGTAGCACTGCAAAGAACCAAGGCTACTCTTGCATAAGATGCTCTCTGTTTTCTTTCTGAAATTTGACAGTATTAATCTGCTCAGAAGTGGCAATGAGCTAGGAAATTTTCATCTAATTCTGCCACAAGATAAAGAAGTTCTTGGCTTTCCCCCAAAATTTAAAAATAAAAATGTGCATAGTACAAAGTCCCCTGCCTCTATTTTTTCTGATGCTAATTCCTCCTAAGAGCTTTTATATCTGCAAGTATTGTCCAATTCAAACCAAGAGAAAAAAGTTATAGTTGCTTTCTGGATTTCTGAAGCTTAGTTGGGGTTTGATATCAAGTTGAAGTTAGTCCAATCAATCAATCAGTCAATGAGACCTTTTCTGAAATGTCAAATTGAGGTCAGAGTCAAAGCAAGGGGTTGCTACATGATCTTCAAATATATGTCTACTAGAATTAGCCATACTCACACTTTCATTATTTTGGGTGTGAAAAGCTTCAAAGGCACTGGTTTTTTCTTTTCACATACCAAAGGATAGTAACATTGCTTTTGGACTTCCAGCTGCTTCAGCACACTGTCACACAATTCCTGAAAATGACAAGAAATGCCACTTCATAAAAACATTAGCACAAAAATAGTAATTTAAATGATTCTGTAACTGAAGTAGCTAAATACAATCTTAATTAAATTATATTTAGATGTCAGTGCTTTGCCCCTTTCTGGAATGTTTTAAAACTTAAATTAATTGAACTTAGCTTCCTAATTAGAGGAAATTTTAAAAACCAACATAATACTGATTTGAAAAGAGATTTTCAAATTATGGCAAGCCAGAAAGCTGCAAATCCATTAGTCTAAAATCTTTTCCTTTTTGACTGGTAGAAAGCAATATTATTAAGCATACAGAAGAACAAATCTTGCTAAGAAAGAATTAGCCTAGTTTCTGCAAAGGGAAATTCCTTCTAACTCACCTTTTGGACTGCTAAGGCCATTACCAAGCTTTTGGATGGGGAGATATGGTTGACATTACATACTTAAGACTTTCAAAAAATTTTGATGAAGTCACTCACAATAAAACTTTGTAAGACAACTTAAGAATCATGGGATAAGATACCTTTTAGAAATCAATAATTAGTTAAAGAACAAAGAAAATCAAAATAAGCAGGCAGTGAAGCTCTATATCTATATTATTAGTAAACAATATGCAAGGTGGTGAAAACCTAAACAGACTTTAAAGGGATTCAAAAGAGTATCTTCAAATTGTGTAAACAGATAACAAAAAAATGGTGCAACATAAGTATATTTGAAGTAATATGCACTGGACAAAACAGGTTTATTGTCATTTAAAAGGGTGATGATTCCTGATCCCCAATGTATTGGATAATTTTTAGTTGGTCTCTAGTATTCCATTCTTGAATGACAAGCTGGAGTGTATGGTAGCTCCAGGGATTTTGGATGATACAGATCATCTAGATCTATTTCATTCTAGTTTCAGGCCTAGTTATGTAATAGAGACTGCTCTGCTTATCTTGGTGGACAATCTATGAAAGAAATTGGACAGTGGGAGTGTGCTGTTCTTGTTCTTTTGCTGGCCTTCATCACTGCTTTCAATACCATCAGTCATGGTATCCTTCTGGATGACTATCTGAGATAATAGCTGAAAGACAATGTTAACTCTGCTTTATTTTATTTATTTAAAACTTTTCTAGTCCATCCCATTACCAAAGTCTCGGGACAGTTTAGCAATACAAAATGTAAAAATTTTAAAACACAGTGTCCTAAAATTCAACTAATAGTAAAACACCAATTAAAACAGTCAGGTCTTAAGACATTGGGAAAATATATAGGGTTTGGCCTTGTGCCAAAAAGAATAAAGTGACGGCACCAGGCAAATCTCTCTGGGGAGTGAATTCCACAATTGGGATGCCACCGCAGAGAAGGCCCTTCTCCAAGTAGTCACCCTCCTGATCTCCTTCAGGAAGGGCACCCGTAGAAGGGTGTCTGCCCAAGATCTTAAGGGGCAGGCAGACACATATGGAAGAAGACGCTCCTTCAGGTAACCAGGCCCTAAGCCGTTTAGGGCTTTATAGGTCATCACCAGCACCTTAAATTGGGCCCAGACTTGAATTGGCAGCCAGTGTAGGCGGAAAAGTACCGGTGTTATATGTTCATACCTGCTGGTCCCTGTTAACAACCTGGTGGCTCTATTCTGAACCAGTTGAAGTATCCAGACCATCTTCAAGGGCAGCCCCACACAGAGCATGTTACAGTAGTTTAATTGGGAAGTTACGAGGACATGGGTCACCAGTGTCAGGCACTGCCCATCCAGATAGGAGGAAAGCTGAAGGAAAGCGCTCCTTGCCACTGAGGATCCCTAAACCTACCAGCAGGACCTCTATCTTGTCTGGATTAAGCTTCAATTTATTGGCCCTCATCCACCCCTTCACCCTGGCTAGGCACCAGTTCAGGACCTCCACTTCCTCACCTGGACTAGATGTAAAAAAGAGGTAGTGCTGGGTGTCATCAGTATACTGATGACTCTGCAACCCAAACCTCCAGATGACTTCTCCCAGCGGTTTCATGTAGAAGTTAAAGAGCATGGGGGATAAAATGGAACCCTGCGGAACTCCATGGCAAAGCTGCCAAGGCGAAGAGTCACAATCCCCCAGCACCACCTTCTGGAATTGGGCAGCCAAGTAGGAGTTGAGTCACAGCAGAGCAGTGCCTCCAACCCCCAACTCAGCCAGTCTATCCAGAAGGGTACCATGGTCAATGGTACTGAAAGCTGCTGAGAGCTCCAGGAGAACCGACAGAGATGCAATCCCCCTGTCCCTCTCCCTGCACAGGTAATCATACAGGGGAATCAAGGCAGTTTCCATCCCATAACCTGGCCTAAAGCCAGACTGAAATGAGTTCAGATGGTCAGTTTCATCCAAGAAAGCCTGGAGTTGCCCGGTCATCACCCACTCGAACACCTTGCCCACGAATGGGATGTTGGCCACTGCTCTAAACTTAGAGCATCTCTGGGTCTAGGTTCGCCCTCTTCAGAATGGGCCTGATCACCACCTCCTTCAAGGGGGCGGGAACCTGACCCTCCCTCAGGGAGGCATTAACTCAGGAGGACCCAGGTATACATCCCATCCTTAGCTTCAGTGAGCAGCCAAGAAGGTCAAGGATTGAGTAAACAATTGGTAGGCAGGACAAATCCAAGCATCTTGTCCATGTACTCAGGCTGCAACAATTGAAACTCATCCAACAAAGATGGACCGGATGGCACTCTGGACACCTCTTTGTACAGGTACTACATCAACTGTGGAGTCCAGCTCGTGACAAATCTGAGCAAATTTATCCCTAAAGTGCTGGGCAAAGTCATCACAGCAAGCCACCAATGGTGTGATGAAGTCATTTTTTGGTCCAGAATGCAACAGACCCCACACCACCTGGAAAAGCTCAGCTGGATGGCGCTGTGAGAATGCAATGGAAGCGGAGAAGAATTTCTTCTTCACTGTCCTCACTGCCACAGCATAGGCCCAATAATGGGCTCTCAGTTGTGTTTGGTCAGATTCAGCAGATTTCCTTCACCTATGCTCTAGTCGTCTCCCAGCCTGCTTCATTGCCTGCAACTCAGGTGTATACCAAGGCGCCGTGTGGGCTCTGCTTGGCAGGGGAGGATGCTTGGGAGTGATCATGTCAATTGCCTGGGTTAATTCTCCATTCAACAAATCAACCAGGGTATCAACAAGAGCAAAAGTTTTATCAACTGGAAATCCCCCCAGAGCCCTCAGGAATCCATCCGGATCCATTAGACCCTTTTTAATAGGGTCTGCACCCTTTCAGAGGGAAAGCCTGCCCTAAGTCTAAACCTCACAAGGAGATGATCTGACCATGACAAAGGGATTAACGTCAAATCCCTTATTTCTAGATCACCATCTTCTTGCCCTGTCGAAAAGTCCAGGTCCAGAGTGTGGCCTCATTCATGTTTTGGGCTGGTGACATGTTCAGACAGCCCCATGGCTGTTATGGCAGCCATGAAGTCCTGAGCTGCCCCGGTCAGAACAGTCTCAGTATGGAAATTGAAGTCTACCAGGACCAACATCCTGGGAGCCTTCAACACCAGGTCTGAGACAATCCCACCAGCACCGGCAGGGAGGCTGTTGGGCAGAAGGGTCATTCAACACCAAGTGCAAACACTCAAGGCCCTGCCTTCAAGGGACCAGAAGCCTTGTGAGGGAGATGGTATCTTTAAGAATTTGGGTGATGCCTCCTCCCCTTCCCTCTAGGCAAGGTTGGTGCTGCATCAAATATCTGGACAGGCACAGCTGGGAAAGCACCCTGCCTCTCCCACCCAGGTCTCTGTGATACATGCCAGGTCGGCCCCCTCATCCACAATTAAATCGTGATGAGGGATGATTTGTTTAGGACTGACCTGGCATTCAACAGCAGCCCCACCAATCCTGAGGGCCAGTTGATATCACAGTCTGGTACCTTCCAGCTGGGGGAAAAACTAGAAGAGGGGACAGGTATTATCCATCTGCCCTCCCTTCTTCTGCAACGACCTGTTAAACCCCAATGCCATACCTTCCCTTCCTATAACCACTCCTACAGGGGCACCCCACTGCTCCCCAGGAACCCCCATGACCAATTAAAATGCAATAAATATAAAAATATAAAATAGGAGGCTGTGCAAATTTAAAATGGAGCCTAATGCAAGAATTATCTCTGACTCCACTTAGAAAAACCCCACCAATAAATACAATTAAGACCAGCGGTCCTACCCAACGCCTCCTGGTTCCATCTACCATAATTTCTGGCCCAATCCAACTCTGACTGGCCGTGAATGGCCCTAAACGGCAATGCCTTTCAGCCGCCAGCCCATGGCTGCAGCCAGCCAGATAAGGGCCTGCCCCCGCCCCCAGTGTCCACTCTCAAAAACCCAGGAGCGGTGAGTGTGCAGGTGTAGAATTGAGGGGAGCCAAAGCAGCAGCACCAGGGGGAGGAGAAGGGCACAGCCCTGGTCCCTCAGTGTCTGTGGCAGTGATGGCAGCAGCGTCCTGGGGGCCTTCTGCAGTGCTGCCTGGTATTGGCTGAGGCAATTAGCAGTTCCGTTTGTAAGGCGATTTCAGAAGGTGGTGCTAGGCGATCCCTGTTTGACACCATAGTCTGTGATGTCCCTAAAGGTTCCTTCTGTCACCCATACTATTTTTCATATATGCAAAGCTGCTAGGAAAGACCAGAGTTTGAGGGATTAGTGCCACCAATATGCTGATAATACCCAGCTGTCTCTTCCTCTCTCATTTTCATCCAAATCTAAGGAAGCTGATCTGGTTCTAAAGGGTGCCCTGTGAGAGTTCAATAAGAACAAACAAACGGAAGCTTAATTAAAGAAATAGTGATTCTTGATCAGTAAAAAGGTAAATCAGGGAATAGGAATTCAACCTGTGCCAGATATGGCTAGTCTCCATTTGAAGACACAGGGTGACAGTTTGGTTATACTCCTGGATTCTGCCTTGAACCTTGATGCCCAGGTTTTGTTGATGGTAAAGAGAGTTTTGTGCAAATGAGGCTAGTGAACTATCTGTGAACTAGCCACAGTCACACATCTGAATTATATTGAGTTTGGTCTACTGTAGCAATGCTGTATATGAGGCAATCTTTGAATGCAGTTTAGAAACTTCTGTTGGCCTTGAATGCTATGGTCTAGTTACTGGGAACACTTGACTTCTTTGTTACAAAAGTTTCACTAGCTACTGTTCTTTGGCAGAATCAAAATGCTCATTATGACTTATAAAGCCCTATAGAGCTTGGGACCAGACTACATAAAAGACTACATTCTCCCCTACAAGCCTGCCTGGCAATGTGAAAACTGCTTTCTTAGCAGCTACTTCCAGACTGTGGAACTTCCTACTGAAGGAGATTAGGTTTGCTCCCTCTTAATATCCTTTGGCTGATAGGCAAATACCTTTTTGTCAAACAGGCCCTTTGGTATATAAGCAGGATGTAGTTTGTATTCTGTTTCTGTTGTGTATTCAATTGTTTTAATGTTTTTGTTTTCATTATTGATTTAATCCAGTTTTATTTGTGATTGCAATCCTCCTTAAGTGCTATTTTTCTTTGTAGTCAGGCAACCTACAAATCAAATAAATAACTTCATCATTAGCTGCATGTGTCTGAATTAGTCATGACTACCTCAAATAAGATCTTGGGATAGTGGTGAAAAAATAAGGATGTCAACTAGATACGCAGTGTTGATGAAAAGGTAAATTTCATGCTAGGAATTACTAAGAAAGACTGAAAATAAAAGAGCCAGTACTGTACTGTTTTTAAATGACTCTACTGAGCAATGCATCTGGGTATTCTATCTTAAAAAGAATATCATGAAGGTTGCAAATATTGATGAAGACAGTATGGCCAACAGGATGGAACTTGTGTCTAAAGCTTCAAATACTTTTTAGTTTTTGGGAAGGCTAAGTAAGAGGGATCATAGTAGAGGTTTATAAAAATCACACATGGTGCTAAGAAAGACATCCTCATATAATACTAAAATTTGTAGTCAACAAGGTTAATGGTCAGGACTCAGGACAGGAATAAAAATCCTTCACATAACTTAATATGTGAAGTCACTGCTGTATGATGCTGTGATGGCCACTAATTTTGTTTAAAGCAGATTAGGCAAATTCATGGAGGTGTATCAGCCAACAAGGTATTGGCTACAATAGCTATATAGGCTATAGGTTCAGAAGCAGTATGATACTGCATACCAGTTGCTGCTCCTGGTGCTACTGCCTTCATAAATGGCAGGCAAGCTTCAGAGAAGCATTTGGTTGATCACTGTAGAAAACAGGATTAGAGTGATCTTACTCTTTAGTCTGAGTAATGTGGATGTTTGGATACAGGGTTGGTAACAGGTTGGTAACCTGGTTTTAAAAAATTCTGTCAGTTTGTCTTTTTATACAGTTGAGTTTTTTTAATGACTAGCTAAGAAAAGGATATAAGGAACCCATGTAGGAAGCTTCACAGTATGTTTTCACAGACGTCATCTCAGTAAGATTGCAGCAACTCTTTACCTGCAGTTTTGTAGGATATGTCATCAAAGGCAAGTGTGTAGTAAGGAGTTTTTGGATGGGTCGTACAATTTCTTGGAAGGATGGCAGCGATCCATACAGTACTGCACATCTTAAAACTAGATCCAGGCCTAGGCTCAGACATGATAACCTGCAAAACAATCATTAATAGCCAAATGAGAAGCATAACCACAACCATTTTAGATGCAGGATTAATTTCTGAGAAAAGTCAAGGAAAACTTGCAAGGAGAAACATCCCAAAGTGAAGTACTGTCTTCCAGTGCACAGTGTTAGGAGCTACTGAGGGGATCTTCTACTGTGGGGATGTTCAAGGGAAGAGGATTTCCCCAACATACTGCATGTCTTAAAACTGACAGGGAGAGGTAAAGGAACACATTTCTGGGTAGTATCAAACTGTGGTGCGGTGCTAGTTATGCTTCAAATGTTCTGGTTTGTGTTAGTATAACTTCCTTAGTTTTAGGCCACTGTTGGGATACTCCCCCACTGCATCATCATCCCATTTCTATTATGTTTTTCCCTGTGCTGCTTTTTCTTCAAGGAGCCGTGGGCAGCATACACAGTTCCACTCTTTTTATCCTAACAAGTCTGTGAGTTCAGTTAGGCTGAAAGGTAATGAGCCACCATCCAAGGTCATGCAATGAGCTTCAGAACAGTGAGTCTAGTCATTTAGGAATCTGACACCCAAACCGCATGATAGTATTAGGTTTGCTTGCTTTCTTACTATATTCAACTTCACTGCTCTGGGCCTTGAGAACCCTGCTCTGTCTATATCTCCGGAAAAACACAACAGTCAACCTGACCACAGGTAGAGAGTAAGTACTTGTTTCAACTGAGATAATCAAATATTGATGACAAAATTCCTCAGAACTGGGTGGCAACTCATTGTCCTCCAGATGTTTTGCCATACAATTTCCATCAGCCCTACGGGGCATAGCCAATGCCCACCCCTGCTCTAATCAGTCCCTTGAAGCGTTGTCTTTCAGTATTCATGTTCTGTTCTTCAAGAGATTTCCTCACTCACAATACTGAGGCTAGGCTGCCTAAGGGATTTACCCAACATTATGTAAAAACTCATATGGCAAGCTCCAAGATGATGAACAGTTTGCCTTTGCTTCTCTCTCTGCCTATATTGCTCTCTCTCTTTGAAACATTTATCTTTTGGAGCTATTAATTCTGGTTATATGGAGCCTTTTAGCAGCCTTTTTGAGTTAGCTGTTTCCTCTTCGGAAGATTGAGTGAGTGGAAAAGAATGATCTTTTATGAACTCCCAGGAATTCCAGCATCTTTAAGGAAACTAGAGCGAGAGGAGTAACTAACATAATTAAACCAGTAAGCAACAGTTTATTCCTTCATATTAATATATGGGAAATAAAAGATGTAACCATACTGGGCGTGGGTTTTTCTGATGACAAAATCTGCTAAACATTTCAAAGCAGATGAATTTGATCTAAGGACAACATCAGAGACTTCGTTACAGTTTCCAGGAGTAATAGATAAGCAGCCTTGCAGCTAGATGATTCTCTCCTTAGAGAAGCTAGATATGCCAAGCTGATAGCCCAACATCATTGAGTGGAATATCAACTCATGTTGACCTGGTACCTTTAAGGGATAAACTGACACTCTTGGAAGAGGAGGAGAGATCAACACAGGAACCCAACAAATCAATGTTATCTGGGTTTTCCAGAGATGTCTGTGCAGTTAGTTTTCCCTTTTACATCAAGCACAAATCAGATATCATTAACTAAAGAATTCAAAGAAGAGTGAGCCTTGGAAGGGCAGCAAGGAAGGAACTAGAAAAGAGAATCAAATGTAAGGATGTTTCACTGAAGACAAAGTCTAAGATATTTCACACATTATATTCCCAATCACTACATGAAAAAGTGAAAGCCGGACAGAGAAGAAAGCTGACAGGAAGAAAATTGATGTATTTGAAGAATGGTGCTGAAGGAGAGTTTTGTGAATACCTTGGATTGACAGAAAGATAAACAAATGGGTCTTAGATCAAATCAAGCTAGAACACTCCCTAGAAAAAATGACAAAACTGTCAATGTCATAATTTGGAACATCATGAGAAGATGCAATTCACTAGAAAAGACAATCATGGTAAGGAGAGTTGAAGGCAAAAGAAAAAGGAAGACCAAACAAGAGATGGATTAATTCCATCAAGGAATCCACATCCTTGAATTTAGAACAGCTAAACAGAATTGTCATGGATAGGCCATTTTGGAGGACTTTCATTCATAGTGTCACTGTAGTTGTAAGTTGGTGATGACTCAATGGCATGTGACAACAACAAGCTATATGACATAGATCCTGTTGCCAGTAAGACCTTAGATTTAACAAGATGTTAGAAAGGATAATTATATAAATGAATCAACCTCTGTTGGACAATCAAGGAAGGATCTGAATGGAAGAAATGTTGGAACAATGCCAAGAAATGAACATGATACAATCTGAAGGGTGCTATGGATGATCTGTTACCAGTAGAGGAACTGAGTCCTCTGTTTCCCCCACTTAGAATTCTAAGCTTATCTTCCTTGACAGTCTCTTAAATTATAAGGCCAGTCTGGTCTGATCAGCTGAACAAGAGCCCACTAATTTTCTGTAGGAACAGTAGAGTACGAAAAGCCTAATTCAGTGGAATTTGTGATCTCACCAGATTGCAGAGACGAATGAGCAACTGATTCTTCATTTTGGAAAATTATCGACCACCAAGATAAAATGACCAGTTGGAATTAAGATTGCTGGGAGAAATATCAACAACCTCAAATATGCAGATGATACCACTCTCATGGCAGAAAGTGAAGAGGAACTAAAGAGCCTCTTGACGCGGGTGAAGGAGGAGAGCGCAAAAGTTGGCTTGAAACTCAACATTAAGAAAACTAAGATCATGGCATCTGGTCCTCTCATTTCCTGGCAAAAAGATGGAGAAGAAATGGAAGTAGTGACAGATTTTATTTTCCTGGGTTCACCACAGACAGGAACTGCAGCCAAGAAATTAAAAGACGCTTGCTCCTGGGGAGGAAAGCTATGGCAAATCTAGACAGCATACTAAAAAGCAGAGACATCACCCTGCCAACAAAAGTGTGTATGGTCAAGGCTATGGTTTTCCCAGTTGCAATGTATGGCTGTGAAAGTTGGACCATAAGGAAGGATGAGCGCCGAAGAACTGAGGCCTTTGAATTGTGGTGCTGGTGAAGACTCCTGCGAGTCCCTTGGACAGCAAGGCGATCAAACTGGTCAGTCCTAGAGGAGATCAACCCTGACTGCTCTTTAGAAGGCCAGAGCCTGAAGATGAAACTCACATACTTTGGCCACCTAATGAGAAGGAAGGACTCCCTGGAGAAGAGCCTAATGCTGGGAACAATAGATGGCAAAAGAAGAAGGGGACAGCAGAGAATGAGGTGGCTAGATGGAGTCACTGAAGCACAGATGGTGTGAGTTTGAGTGGACTCCGGGGGAAGGTGGAGGACAGGAAGGCCTGGAGGAATGTTGTCCATGGGGTTGCAATGGGTCGGACACGACTTCGTGACTAACAACAACAACAAAGATAAAATGTGGTGATTCTTTCATAGTTTGATTAGATGAATTTGAAAGCAGATGATAAAGGTACTGGTTGGCTAAAGTTTTCAAGATATTTCACAATAAAGATTTATACACAGGAGAGCATATTTGCCTAGAAGGGAGGGAGGTGTCTGATGATCATGCTGCCTTGTAACTTCTCAGCAAAGTACAGTAGAACAATGAAAATGGTACCACATGGAAGTGCATAAATTTATCTTCACTTTGGGACTAAAGAGTATTACCTAACTGTAATTTATTGTTCTTTTATTGCAAGGAACATTTGTCTTGGTCTGATCAACGCACCATACGCTTACATCTGGTGGCTTGTGAAAAAGTCATTGCCTAACATTTCCAAGGAACAGTTGTGTGATTTTTTTCCCTCAGAAGCCAAGATGCCTCAAAACTGTGTAAACAATGCAGATACTTCTGCTACATTTGAGGTGAGGTTAAATTTGCATCTCAAAAGTGTAGTATGATGGCAGTGGTAAAAAAGTCATACCACCTATACTTTGGATGTAAAATAGGGGATCAGGGCAAGATTTGGGCCCCTCATTATTGTTGCATTACATGTGCAACTTATCTGCATCATTGGCTAAACAAGAAGAAAAAGTCCATGCCCTTTGCAGTCCCAATCGCCTGGAGGGAACCCACCAATCATAATAGTGACTGCTATTTTTGCATGGTTCCCCATTTGCAAAAGGGATCTCAAGAAAGAAGTGTACCGTGGAATAGCCAAACATTCCATCCGCACTGCGTCCTGTACTCCATGGTGCGGATTTGCCAATTCCAGATCCACCATAATCCTACTCTCTAGACTCAGATGATGATAAAGACGATGAGCAGGATGCAGCTGATCTGGGGCCCTCAATGTCAGTGGACCCAAACTTTAGTCCATTGTACGCTCCTCTTGAACCACATCTAATTTCACAGAGTGAAATTATCGACCTGGTCAGGGAATTGTCTAAGAATAAGACTGCAGGTGGCGCAGTGGTTTAAACCGCTGTGCTGCTGGACTGGTAGATCGAAAGTTTGCCGGTTTGAATCTGCACAACGGGGTGAGTTCCCATTGCTCCATCCCAGCTCCTGCCAACCTTGCAGTTCGAAAGCATGCAAATGCAAGTAGATAAAAAGGTACCACTTTGGTGGGCAGGTAACAGCGTTCCGTGCACTTCAGTGTTTAGTCATGCTGGCCACATGACCACGGAGACTGTCTGCGGACTAACGCTGGCTCCCTCGACTAGGAAGTGGAGATGAGCACCGCCCCCTAGAGTCAGGCATGACTGGACTTAATGTCAAGGGGAAACTTCTACCTTTAAGAGTAAGACAGAGCTACTGTGCTCCAGAGCTTCTAAGTTTCCATGGAAAAAACATAAAATATGTTACATGAAAAACCATTAAAAGAATGGAAAGTTATGTTATTGGTATCAAATAAAAATATTAATTTATAGTGATTGGTGTGGCACCATTCTCATTGCTATATCACATTTTGCAGAAAAGTTATGGAGCATAATCGCACATCCCCTTCATAATTTTGAATTATTTTGATGCAATTTTGACCTGAACCTG